CCAAAACCCTATTCTAGTCATCAAGGCCCATTCAGCCTAAACCCTAAACACCTGCTTCTAAACTTGGGTCCGTAGGAGTTGATCCCCTCTAAGTGCTCGATCCCTAAGCCCCAAAAGCCTTAAACTACTTAAACCGCTACGCCCTAAACCCCTAAACCCTAAACCCTAAACCCTAAACCCTAAACACCTAAACCCTAAACCCTAAACCCTAAACACCTAAACCCTAAACCCAAAATTTTAATCCCAAGTCCGTAAGCCCTAAAAGCTCTGAAATGAGAGCTCTTGCAGGCAATGCCATCAACCTCGGCGACCTGAGGCTTCTTTGCACAGACGAAGAAGGGTTTAGGGTTTTAGGGTTCAGGGTTCAGGGGTTTAGGGTTTAGGGCTTTGGGTTTAGGGTTTAGGGGTTTAGGTGTTCTGGGTTTAGGGTTTCGAATCATCATCATCATAACAGTCACGCAAAAACATCAATAACCCCCAACCCGACATGGAGAGATTTTGCTTCCCACGTTTTTCTGGGTGTCAACCCATCTTTTGGGGCTTGGGGTTTGGGGATTACGGTTCAGGGCTTCGTGCACCAAGAAAACAACAGATGTGATTAATAAAGGGGCCTTAAGAAATAGAACAGGGTTTGGGGCGGGGTATAGTATGTATATTATTTCAATAAGGAACCCCCATTACCGTCAACCCGAAACGCTAAACCCTAAACGCTTAAACCCTAAACCCTAAACCCTAAACCGTGGGCGAGGAAGGTTTTGAGTTGGGGAGTTTGGTGTGTGAGTTGTGGTAGCGGCTTTCTGTTTCCCTAGGCCTAAGGCCTCTAAGGACTCATAGCTTAAGGTTTTTGGGCCCAAAGACCATGCTATCTAAGGCTTTTGGACTATTTTGAGCCTTAGGCTAAGACTCCAAGTATACAAATAGTACCTACTTTGGGGCCGTAAAGTCTATGAATGGTACCTACTTTGGGCCATTTGGAGTCTTAGGGTTTTGTAAGCTTTTGAACTCTGCGCAAACCTACTTCTCACTGTTCGTGCCCCTGTCGAAAGCTAAACGGGAAGTTAAGCGAGCCAAGCCCTACTTAGTAGGTTTAGGGTTTAGGGAGTCCTTTGCAACCTCTGTGGCTTGGATGGGTCTTTGCTAAGTGCGGTGCATGTAACGCGAGTAAATGGGTTGTGCCCGGAATCATAACCGGAAGCCCTTACGCCCTAAACCCGGACTCTAAAACCTTCTGTCTTTAATTACATGAAAGCCAAGCTTGCCGAGACCAATCGCCATCCTGGCATTGGAAGCCCCTAAACCCTAAGCCCTAAACCCTAAACCCGAAACCCTGAACCTTAAACCCGAAAACCTAAACCCTAAACCCTAAATCTCAAAACCCCGAAACCCTAAACCGTAGAGCACTCTGGAGCCCTCAAGCCCTACGGCCCTGGATCAGGCTGGGTGGTCAACGCCCGGTCGTCGCCGGCTGGGCCGGGACCTCTACAGAACCCTGGTTTCAGCGAGCTCTTTCAGGTTCAGGTGCAACCCTAAACCCTGAACCCCTAAACCATTTAACCCTAAACCCCTAAACCCGAAACCCTAAACCATTTAACCCTAAACCCCTAAACCCGAAACCCTAAACCATAGATGCCCTCGCCCCAGGGCCACGATCTTGGGATGCTTTCTGGCTTCAGAATCTTTGCCGGCTTTCTGCGGCTCAGATCGTGGAGCTGAGCCGATGTTTAGTGGTGTGGCATGCATGTAGCTTAAGGGTTTTGGGTTTTGTGTTTAGGGATTGGGCGTGCGTGTAATGTAGGGACCTTAATAATTAGAATAGGGTTTTGGGGGTTCCATATTATCATTATAGTCTAATATACCCCCAAAGCCCTATTCTAATCATCAAGGGCCCTATATTGGCTTAGTCAACTTCTTCCTGTAGCTCAAATTGGGGTCTGTCCGGAAGCCAGAAAACGCAAGCCTCGGAGGCCTTGTGAATCATAATAAGTCTGCACGAACACTTCTCATACCCTCCTGGAACCCTGCGAACTATGGCAAGATCATGTCCAGAACCCGTTGAAAAGAACGCAGCCTCATAAGCCTTGCGAGACACCTTTCTTCAGTAGGATCGCGTCCCGCAGCAAAGACGCCTAGATGGAAAACTGCGAAGCCTTTCAAGACAACTGTTCTATACTAGCCTATTCTATACTATCCTCTCCTCTCCTCTCCTCTTCTATCCTATCCTATAAACTCAAGTATACTACACTACACTGTACACTGTGAACTATACTGTGTTATATATCATCTTATCCTACCTGAAAGAACAGTACCCTGAACCCTAAGCCAGCAGAGATGAGGCCCGACGTGATCGCTGGCTGAGCTAAGTGGCATGGACGGGAGAAGACAAAAGAGCACGCTCTGAGACCTCAAGTGGGGGTTTTAGGATAAACCCTTAAGGGTTTAGGGTTTCAGGGTTTAGGGTTTAGGGTTTTAGGGTTTAGGGTTTAGGGTGTAGATAGTAGTTGCCGTGGATCGCTCAGATCCTGAAGCCCTAAGACCTGAACCCTCGAAGTGTATCGGAACCCTTGTAGGAGCCCTCACAGGCTCTCCCCCTAAACCCGACCACCCAGATGGGGGACCTACTTAAAGGATTATGGGACTTAGTAAGTAGGGTTATAATTAGGGTAATTATACTTATAACCCCAATTAAGCGACTTATAACCTTGCTTACCAAGTCCCATGATCCTCCAAGGAGACACTACGCCCATTCTTGACCTGCTGCCGCCAGGACGCAGATTTCCTCAAGGGAGTGCTGCGGTACGCTGAAGTGTCCAAAACACCAGAAAGTTTATAGTAAACCCATAAACCCTAAACCCTAAACCCTAAACCCTAAACCCTAAACCCTAAACCCATAAAAGTTGGAAACCGGAGTGAGGACAATTAGTGCTGGGATTCCTTGATTCCCAAACCGAACCTTGTAGAAGTTGATGGCTCTAATTACACCCCACCTTAACCCCAAAGAACCTACCGTTTTAAGGACTTTCATAAAGAAACCACAATAAGGAACCACAATAAGGAACCCTAAAAGACAAAGGTAGGTTATTTGGGGTCCAGGTACAGCCTAGACCTTCATCCCCAAACCCCTCAGCCCCAAACCCTAAAGCCCTACAGCCCCAAACAGAATGTCCCAAGCACTGAAAGCCTTGAGCGCCTCAGAAAATCAGTCCTAACCTTGACCCTAACCCTTAAGCCTTTAACCCTAAACCCTAACCCTTAAGCCTTAAACCCTCAACCCTAACCCTTAAGCCTTAAACCCGAACCCTGGGAATCGGAACGACTCGGCATCTCTTCGCGGGGATGGGGGCAAGAGCCTGCTGCTGCCCATCGATGCAGCTTTCTTGGCTTTGAAGGCCGGTTGGAGGGCTTTTTCGGGACGTTTAGGATTTAGGGTTTAGGGTTTCGGGTTTAGGGTTTAGGGTTTAGGCTTGGGCTCAAGCTGATTTTGACGGGCTTTGGAGGGTTGCATTGTTCTTTCATTGGGTTTTATCTGCTTGGGGTGTCGGTTCTGGATCGGACCTCAAGGGCCGAACCATCCGCGAGCGAAGCGTCGGGGACATCAAATGGCAACTCCCAGCTCAGGTGACATAATGTCGGGGTCGGACCAACTACGAACAGTCTTCCAATATAGTCGCCTTAAATAATCATACTATAGTACTAAACCCTAAACCCTAAAACCAAAGCCCTACCACTCAAAGCCCATTCTATGTAAGAGTTTCCGAAAATAAGGGGTACCTTATTTTGGGCTCCTTATAATAAGGATCCTACTATTTAGGGTACTATATTAGGGTCCCCTATTTTCGGAAACCCCCATGTACTGAGGCCCCTACTGTAGAGCACACCCCGCCAGTAAGACTACGCTACGATCGTCCAACTCCGAGTAGCCGCTTTCAAGTCTACCGACGGTGCTTGGACTTTATGCTACACTACACCCTAGACCCTACCAACCCCAGCTACCCTCTAATCGACCCGAAACCCCAGACCCTAAACCATAATCCGTAAACCCCTAAACCCTAAACGCCCAAACCGTAAACCCTAAACCCCTAAACCCTAAACCCCTGAACCCTAAACCTTAAACCCGATACAACCCACTATCAATGACGATAAGGGCTCGATGCAGCGGCACTTGGAGGGTCCTGGTGCAAGCCTGAAGACTAGAGAGTTTAGGGTTTAGGATTTAAGAGTTTAGGATTCAGGGGCTTTGGGTTTAGGTTCTAGTCAGGGTTAAACGCCCTAAACATCCCTAAGCCCTGGAGATTTCCAAGCGTTTGGAAGTTTTTTGCTTCTAATACAGAAGCCTAAATGGTTACCTATACGATTTGGGGGTTCCTCATTAGAAGTATTATAAGTATAGTATAAAGGGCCCCAAAACCCTATTCTAATTTTTAAGGCCCCCAATATAGAACCCTATCATAGATCCCAAATAGAACCCTTTAAGGATCCCTTATAGAACCCCTTTGAGGAACCCTTTAAAGGAACCCTAACATAGAACCGAAATCGAATTATGAAGGCCCCTACATTAGGTCCCTGGCCTGAACTGTGGCAGGGTCCAGCCTCGAGTTCCGGAGTTTAAGTAGTCCCGAAACCGAGCTCAGGGCTTTGCGGTGTAGGGGTTTAAAGTTTAGGACTTTAGTAGTTGGGTTTAAAGTTTAGGACTTTAGTAGTTGAGGGTTTAGGTGCTTGATTTTAAGGTTTGGGGCTTTAGGTTTTTAGGGCTTTAGGGGTCCAGGCCACGCCACAGCTTCAAGGAACTTCACTGCTGCTAGCTTTTGGGCTTCGACGATCAGACCAACCAGCAACCACACAGGGTCTAGGGTCTAGGGATGGCGGTGATCAATGATGATGGCGATGGTGATGCTGGTGATCAAACATAATGATGATGATGATGATGATGGTGATCATGATGATGACTATGATGGTGATCAAAGATGATGATGATCATGATGACGCCCTAAACCCTAAATCCTAAACCTTAAACCGTGATGATGATGATAATGATGAAGGTGTTTCACTAAGTGTGGCATCTGTCGCGGTCATGTTTCGCGCCTGCTTTTTTCAGATTCCGGGGCTTCGGGCTGAAAGGCCTGCAGTTTAGGGCGGGTAGACTTCAGTGGGTTTTCGTGTAGAGTCTACCCAAATCCCTTTAGGGTTTAGGGTTCAGGGTTTAGGGTACCTAAATCCCCCCAAAGTACTCAATAGAATGGCCCCACACCTCTAAAAGGCTCTTCTACATGCTTTTGCGGTCCAGGTATGTAGGGTTCAGGGGTTCGTGGAGCGGCTATGCAGGCTTGGCCGGGCGGGTAAGGCTGCTAAGGTCTGTATTAGGGTTATGTTTTGCAACATAGAAGAAAGTGATTTGGGTGGTTGTCAAAATTATGGTCCCTTTTTGGGTCCTTATTATAATACGGCACCTATTATTTAGGGTACCCCAAAAGGGACCATAATTTTGACAAACACCCATTAAGGGTTTGCAGGAAGCTTGGGGTAAGCGCGAGCTTTGAATAGGGCCTGGCTTCCGAAGCATTCTGTTCTCCCTTACGCTTCAGGGGCGTCTCCGGTGGCGATGACCGACTATGCCCTGGGTTACTCAGGCCGAACGCGGCAGTACTGGTTGAGAAGTTTGGGGGCCAACCACTCATTACGCTAGACAGGTTCTTGAGAGCATTGAAGACTCCTCGCAAAAAAAAAAAACGCAAGACAGGCTGCATGGTGAAGCGCTGGTGGTAGCATCTGTGGGTTGTTTTGCTAAAGTGTGACCAGCCACTGTATTTGCTTGTGACGCCCTTGTCAGGGAGAGCCAAAAAAGAGGAAACTGTCGCAAAATGCTCTGCCCTTGTGAAAGAGTCATAGACTTCAGGTAGCCTAGTAGTTGCATGAGTACACTTTACACTGTTTGAGATCGCATTTTTCCTCATAGGACTGAAAGTCTACAGTTCTTTAGGATTTATGAACTGAGCAACTACGATGGTATGTGCAGAGTTGAGTTTATAATAAGAGGGGAAACCTAATCCCTACACCCCTAAACCCTAAACCCTAAACACCCAAATTTTAAACCCCAAACCCCTAAGTCCTAAACCCTAAACCCCTGAGTTCAAAGCCCTAAACCCCTAAACCCTAAACCCCAAGATCCTAAATTATCAACCCTAAACCCTAAACCTGAACCCTAAAGGGCTCAAGCGCAGACTTGGCGTTTTAAGGCTTGAAGTCGCTCGGTTTCTTGGTGCTCCCGAGGTTGTTAGGGTTTACAGTTTTTGGAGCTTATTTAGGGTTTACATTTCAGGAGTTTAGGGTCTAGGGCAAGAACAAAACAGCCGCAAGTAGACTCAAAATAGACTGAAAGCCCCCCGCCGCAGAAACAAAGCTTCATGGCTAGTTCCCGAAAAACCCCACGCTTGCCGATGTGTTCTGGATGTGCTGCCTTGTCGACATTTTTCTCGAGCCAGTTGCAAACGTTAATCACGAACCGTGTAGGTAGCTAGGTAGCCTTTTGGGACAGTTTATAGTTTCCCTCAGTATTGGGCCCAGAAGATCTTATTTCCGAAGGTTTTCAATTGCTGTACAGCGCCAACCTACTTAGGCTCCCTGAGTTTACAGCTCCAGCACCCTGTCCAGGTGCCTCCGCTGCTGGCGCGCTCCTTTCCTTTCTGCTGACGCTTTCTGGATTTCTCGTCCGAGCCCTGGTCGGGCTTCCATTGGGAGAAGACGGTTTTCGGGATTACAAGAACCCTAAACCCTAAACCCAAAACCACAGTTGGAAATTTTGAGTATGAAGAACAGCTCTAAAGTAAGTGGGCTTCAGATCTTGAGCCTAAGCCACAGCCCCGCAATCCTGAATGCTAGAATCGCCATGATTCCCGCATCATGAGTGCTGCCTCGCTCGCTTGATACTGAACTTCCGATGTGGATATAGGTAGACATGTTCACTGTGTCATATATACATATGTACATGTATATATATATATATATATATATATGAATATATATATATATACTTATCTACATAGATGTATGTATGTATGTATGTATGTATGTATGTATGTACGTATGTATGCATGCATGTATGGTTCGTTGGTTGGCTGGTTGTTTGAATATCTATGCATAAGGGTGCGTATACATGTACGTGCATGTGTATGTATGTGAGTATATGTGTACATACAGACGTATACATGTATACATGCACATGTAAATTAATCCACCCATCCATCCATCCATCCATCCATCCATCCATCCATCCATCCATCCATCATTACATATGTACATACATACATACATACATACATACATACATACATGCATGCATATGTACATATACATATACATATCCATA